GGTGTCATTCCCAACAGCATCCCGGTGTCATTCCCTAAGTCATTTCAGGGTCGTCACCTACACCATTTTAGTATCATTTCCTAAAGGATCCCAGTGCCATTCCCTACAGCATTCCAGTATCATCTCCTGCAGCATCTCAGCATCATTCCTTAAAGCATCCCAGCGTCATCTCCTAAAGGATTACAGTGCCATTCCCTACACCATCCCAGTATCATTCCCTAAAGCATCTCACCATCCTCCCCTAAAGGATCCCAACATCATTCCTTAGGGCATCCCAGCATCATTCCTTAGGTCATACCAGCATTATGCACTAAAGAATCCAGGTGACAATCCCCTCAAACATCCCAGTGACACCCCGTAAAGCATTCCACTTTACTCCCCTACACCATTCCAGTGCCCTACAGAATCCCAGTATCGTTCCCTACAACACCCCAAACCATTCCAGCCCCATCCCCTCCATCTCCGCTTCTCCCAGTCCCCAGCATTGCACCTCCCCACCCCCAGCAGACCCTGTTCCCCCCTTCCCCCCCGCCCCATGTGCCGCCACAACCTCTATAAATATTCAAAAAGCCGCGTTTTCCGGCCAAGCGCCCAGCTCGGGGTGGGGGCTCCCGGGGGAAATGTTAATAAGAGGGGGCTGCCAGGGATTCCCCCCGGGCAGCGGGAAGGGGGGGCTCAGCCACTCATTTGCCCAGACAAATATCTTGTCGCTCCTCATTACGGTCTTCGTGCCTCAGTTTCCCCACCCGATGCTGCCCAGCGAGGGTCGAGAAGATTCAGGAGGAGTAAGGAAGCAGCAAAAATAAGGAGGAATAACGAGGACAACGAAGTGTGGAGGAAGCCTCCCCCCCACCTAAAAACTTCGGGGGGGGGTGATTTGGGCAAAGCCTGGGCAAACAACCACTAATCGCCGAATCAAGCGGCAATTAAACGCCGCGGCGGCGAGAATAAATCTGCTAACAAGGAGGCAATGCCCCCGCGCTCGGTGTTTGCCCAGCTGATTAACGGGGATGAATCTGAGGGGGATTATCCATCGGGATGAGGCGGCTCCTTTGTCTCCATTCCCCATCCCGAGCTGTCTCAGAGGAGGTATTGGATGCGCGTGTGTCACCCCCGGGAGCCCATCGATGCAGCCTCAGGACTCATAGCGGGATTAATACAGAGGTGCTTTAATCCCTGGGGCTCCCAAAACCTCCAGGATCCCCATTAAAAACTCTCCCATCTTCCAGGCACTCCATGAAAAGGGGCCCAAAAGCTGTCCGGGGATTAACATCCTTTTCCATCCTGTAGTCCCGCGTCGAAGATGTCCCATCCCTTGGCTTAGCTCTCCAAAACGAGAAGGTGGGGAAACAGAGCAGCTTTTAATATTCCAGCGTTGCCATCAATTCCCATCCCGGAGAATTATTCAGATAATAGTTGGATAAACCTGTTATTCTACGGATAATTTATTTCTCCTTTTTTTTCTTTACTTTTTTTTTTTTATCCTACTGAGAAATCCCTCGGCTGCTGCATCCCCAGCAGGAGAAACGGAAAAGCTTTGTGCTCCTATTAAATTAATATTTATTTACTTTCTCCGTGCCCAGCTCTGAGAGGGATGGATGAATAATGCATCACCCCCTGGACACCCAGATAGGAGCTTTGGATCCGACAGATTCGGTGGGATATGGAGAGCCCAGAGGGTGCTGGTGAGGCTGAATGGTCCCAGATGTGCACAGGAGTCCAGATGTGTGCCTGTCTGAGGCCCCAGCACAGCTCTGAGACAGAAGCAAGCCTGTGCAAGCTCTCCAGATGTGCACTCACCTACCTCCTACTTATGCCTCCAGATGTGCACAAATAGAAACCATCCGTCTGTCCAGATGTGCTTGAGCATCCCTGTGCCTTCAGCTGTGTGCCCAGCTGTGACCCTGGGGAGCCCTCCAGCTGTTTGCCCAAACGTGTGTGCATCCCCCAGACCATCCAGCCCTCCCAGATGTGAACATCACAGAGATCCTCCGTGCCCCAGATGTTCGTGGAAAAACCTCCCCTCTCCCCAGCTGTGTCCCAAGAGTCCTCCAGATGTGAACCCCCTTTGGAGCACTTTTGCCTCCCCCCACCCCGATGTGCAAACGTGCTTGGGCCCATTTCATCTGCTGCTGTGCATCCAGATGTGAAGTGCCTTCTTCCTCCCCCTGTCCCAGATGTGGACACCCAGATGTGTGTCCCCCATCCTTCCCCATCACCCCTTCTCCTCCACACCTCCTCTCTCCCCGCCAAGCCCCTCCGGGTTCCCCACATTCCCGACTCCCCCTTTTTCCCCACCTTTGCCCCATTCCAAGCGCCAGTGTAACAATCCCCCCTTAATAAACCTCCCTGAGAAAGCCTCCTATTAAAGAACCCCCCTAAATAACAACCCCCCCTATAACGGACCCCCCTAAACTCCCCCTTCCCTACAGGGGGCTCGCTGGAGGAGGCTCTTTGCTTCCCACATCAGCTCCAGCGCATTAATTAAGTGGCCAATTGCTAATTACGGATTCAATGGCATCATGTGCCGATTCCTGTGTGTTCCCTTCCTCCCCCCAAATTCAAGGCCACTGGTGCTCCCAGCACCCCCGAAGTGTCCTCACCCCTGCCAGCGCCCCCCGGGGTTGGGGTACGTGGCCCCCCCGAGCAGCCGCGGTTCCCCGTGGGGTGAGGGGGTGACGCTGCATTTTGGGGTTCCTTGAGGAGGGTCCCGGGTGGAGGGTGATGGCAGCCCTGTGTGGTGTCACCTAATCTGGTGTGAAGCCAGGGAGCTGCTGCCCCTCTTCCTCCTTCTGCTCCCTCCAATCCGAGGACCCCCCTTTTCCTTTGCTCCCCCAAAAGTCATCCCGATTCCCCTCCACCGTGGAGTCCCCGCCCCGTACGGGACACACCCCCTTCTGCCCCCATCCCGCTTCTCAGGGAGGAGGGGGGGACACAGGGACACCCCCATCTCCCCCCGCCCAGCACAGCGCTGGCCCGTCCCCCCACCCGGGGGCGGCGCCGCGGGCTGAGCCGAGCCGAAGTGAGCTGAGCCGAGCCGAGTCGGGCCGGGCTGAGCTGGGCTGAGCCGCGCTGGACTGAGCCGAGTCGGGCCGGACTGAGCCGAGCCGAACCCAGCCAAGCAGAGTCGAGCTAAACTGAACTGGACCGGGCTGAGCCGAGCTAAGCTGAGCCGGTCTTAGCCGTGCAGGATCGTGTGGTGCTGAGGGGAGCCGAGCCGAGCCGAACTGAGCCGAGCTTTGGCAGAATGCTGCGGTACCTGCTGAAGACGCTGCTGCAGATGAACCTGTTCGCCGACTCGCTGGGGGCCGAAGGCTCCAACTCCTCGCTCCTGCTCGGCATCAACCGCTCCATCGCTGCACTCCACCTGCCCGATCTCGCCCCCGGGAATGGTACGTGGCCCCCGGTCCCGGTACGTGGTCCCCGGTCCCGCTGTCCTCCCGTCCCGGGGTTCCCATTTCTGGTCCAGACAGGATGCTGAAAGTAGCTCGCAGCCCCCCCATCCCAGTCGGGACCCCACCAGCACCGACACTGGGCTCCTAACCTGATCCCGTGGCCCCAAACCGGGACCTGGCCCATGTCCCAACTTCGAGACGGACCTGATGCCCCCAAACCGTCCCCGTCAGTCCCGAGTCCAGGACTGACCCCGTCGTCCCACCAGGTCCATGTCCCCATTCCGGGACCGGCTCCCTGTCCCCAGACCAACTCCCGGGAGTGATGCTATGTCCCCAGATAGTGTCCATGACCCCAAACCGAGACCAGACTGCTGTCCCCAAGTCAGGACCGACCCAATGTCCCCAAACTAGCCCTGTGTTCCCAAATCCTGATGCAGGAGAAGTCCTCGTTCCCAAACTGTCCCTGTGTTCCTACATCAACCTCCAGACTGTGAGCTGGGACAGACATGTCATTCCCAAATTGTTCCTATGTCCCCGGACCAATCTCCAGACCCCAAGGTGGAGGTGACCCGGTGTACTCAAACAGTCCCTATGTCCCCACGCCCATCCTCAGTCTCTGAACCAGGACCAGTCCCATGTCCCCCGACCGTCCCTGTGTCCCCAAACCAACTCCCAGACACTGAGTTGGGACGGACTCCATGTCCCCAAACCAGACCCGTGTCACCAAACTATTTCTACATTCCTAAACCATCCCAGTGTCCCCCAATCAGATCCGTGTCCCCTAATTCTCTCCATGTCCCCAAACCAGCCCCGTGTCCCCTAGCTGGGACAGAGCGGGGGGAGAGGGGCGGGGGATGATGGAGGGGGTGTCTGCCTGAATTTTAACCCCATTTTGGGCTTTTTCCCTCTTTTTTGGTCTGAACGTCCCCCCTCCATCTGGCCCTGGGTGGCTGGTGAGGGAGGGGGTGTCCCCAAACCCCGCGGGACCGCCTGCCCCTGCACAGCCGGCTGGGCACAGGAGGGGGTCTGGCTTGACCCCCCGCTCATCCCAATTAGCCACCGGGCCCAGCTGCGGCCCCCTCAGTCCCCGCTGTGCCCCCCGGGGGTACCCGGTACCCCGCAGCATCCCTCCCGTCCCCATGGCAGCCACATCCTGTCCCCATGGCAACCCCGCGGGCGCCCCAAATTGCAGCCCCCCCCCCTTACATCCCGCCACAAGACTCTTGGGGCAGGAGCAGGGGAAAGGAGACAACGTGTGCATGTGTGTGCGTGTATGTGCAGGCATGTGCATGTATGTGCGGTGTGCATGTATGTGCATGTGTGTGAATGTGTGTGCACGCATGTGCATGTATGCACAGCGTGCAGGTATGTGCATGTATGTGCAGTGTGCATTTATGGGCATGTATGTGCAATGTGCCTGTGTGTGCATGTATGTGCGTGTATGTGCAGTGTGCATTTATGCGCATGCATGTGCATTGTGCATGTATGCACGAGTGTGTGCATATATATGTGTGTGTGTACCTCTGCATGCCTACACATGCATGTCTAAGGACACACACGCCCCTGCATGAATGCACACGTGTGTGCCGGTGTGTGTGTGTCTGTAACTACACACACACGCGTGTGCAGGCGTGTCTGTGCATGTATGTGCCTGCAGTGGCATGTTCCTGTGCGCACAGTGACACACAGTGACACTTGGGGACCGACCTCCCGAGCCAACCCCGGGCGGCGCTGGGGACACGCGGGGTTCAGCCCAGCCGGCCCCGGCATTTAGGAGCATTAATTATGCCGGCATTAATGAGCATCCATTAATTCCCATGCCCCAGCGGGGAGAATTTTCCTGCGATGGCCCCACAGATCCAATATGGGGCTTTTTTAAACTTAAATTTAAGCGTTTCCCGCAGCCCGGAGTTACTGGCTCTGCTATGGAAAATCAGCACTTGCAGATGATGGAAAAATCATGATGGAAAAAAACCTGTTTGGGGGAGAATTTAGCCCCAATTCCATTTCCGCAGGGATGCCCGGTTGGAAACTGGGTGGAAAAGGGCCATTACTGGCAGCGGAGCTGCTTTGTCCCACTGTCCCTGCCTGAGCCTGCTCCCTCCCCACCGGCACCCACCCTGGGATGGGGCAGAGGGGGATACACGGGGCTGAGACCTCGCCACACTTCATCTCATCTCCTGCTCTTCAAGCAAAGCAGGGGCTGGATCCAGGAAGGCGCCGCACGGAGCTTTGGAGGATGCTCAGCCCCCTCAAGCCCCACCTCCCCACGCCCCTAATCTTTCCCGCAGGGTCCCACTCTCAGCTGGAGGACACGGCCCCTCGCATCGTGGAGCACCCCACGGATCTCCTGGTCTCCAAGGGGGAACCGGCCACGCTGAGCTGCAAGGCCGAGGGGCGCCCGGCCCCGGCAGTGGAGTGGTACAAAGACGGGGAGCGGGTGGAGACGGACCGGGAGGATCCCCGCTCTCACCGCACCCTCCTGCCCGGCGGCTCCCTCTTCTTCCTCCGCATCCTGCACGGGCGGCGGGGGAAGCCCGACGAGGGGGTCTATGTCTGCGTGGCCAGGAATTACCTGGGGGAGGCCACCAGCCGGAACGCTTCCCTGGCGGTGGCCGGTGAGTCCTGGGGAGAGGGAGAGGGGCTGAGGGGTGATTTGGGTGGGGGTTTAGGGGTCTGGTGCCACCGCGGAGCTCAACCCGCTGTGGGACCAGGGGCTCTCACATCCCCGGGCGTGGCGCTGCCAAGGGAAAAGAGGGGGAAAGAGATAAAAGCAGGGAAAATAAATGAGAAGAAGGGTAAATGAAGCATTTGGAAATAAATAAAAGAAGTGAAGAGAAAAGGAAAGAAATTTCAGTAAGTTCGAAAGAAGCGAAAAACATTGGAAATAAATGAAACTGAGAGGAAAGAAATGAAAAAAAAGAGGAAATGAGTGAAAGTAGATGGAAAGAGTAAAGTGAAAGTAAGTGAAAATGAATGAAAATAGGAGAAAAGAAATTAAAACATAGGTGAAAAAAAATGAATTGAAGTGACAAGAAGTGAAAATAAATGAAAAAATAAAATAAGTGAAAATAAGTGAAGAAAAATAAAAATAATGAAAAAATGAAAATAATTGGAAATAAGTGAAAATAAGTGAAAATTACTGAAAAGAAGTGAAAATAAGTAAAAATAAATTGCAATATATGAAAACAACACAAAAGAAATTAAAAGAAGTGAAAATACTTGGAAACTAATGAAAATGAGAATAAACAAAAATAATTGCAACAAAACAAAACCAGGTGAAAATAACCGAAAACATTTGAAAATCAAGTAAAATCAAGGAAGAAAAATTAAAATCAGCTAAAGCCAACGCAGACGGTGTCCCAGGCGCCACTCCCAGGGCTGGGGAGCTGAGGCCGGGCTGGTGTGTCCCCCCAGTGCTGCGGGACGATTTCCGGCAGCCCCCCGGGGATGTGGTGGTGGCGGCGGGAGAACCGGCCGTGCTGGAGTGTGTCCCGCCCCGCGGCCATCCCGAGCCCAGCGTCTCCTGGAAGAAGAACGGAGTCCGGCTCAGCGACAAGGACGAGCACCTGACGGTGAGGGACGGGGCGGGGGGCACAAAACCGGGGCAGAGTGTTACCATGAGGATGTGGGATAAGGTAGGGATAGAGGATGCAGTAGGAGCGTGGGATGTGAGAGGGATACAGGACGGGGATGTGGAATGCGGGATTCGATGGGGGTGCGAAGGGGATTGGGGATGTGATGGGGATGTGGGATGTGGTGGGAATATGGGTGCAGTGAGGATACAGAATGTGATGGGGAGGCGATGGAGAAGTGGAATGTGATGGGGATGGGGAATGCAACAGAGATCTGTGATTCAGTGGAGATACAGGATGGGATGGGGATGGGGGATGCAATGAGGATGCAATGGGAACGTATGACGTGATGAGGGTGTGATGCAGTGAGGATGTGGGATATGATGGGGACGTGATGGGCATGTGGGATGCAGCGGAGAGTTCGGATGCAATGAGGATGTGGGATGTGACTGGGATACAGGATGAGATGGGGATGTGGGAATGGGGATGTGGGATGCATAAGAGATTTGGGATGCAATGGAGATATGGGATGTCATGAGGGTGTAAGTGCAATGGGAATGTGAGAAGCAGTGAGGATGCGGGATGTGATGGAGATACGGAATGCAGTCAGGACGAGAGGTGCAATAAGGGTTTGGGATGCAGTGGGAGTATGAGATACAGTGGAGATGCAGGATGCAATGGGGATGCTGGATTTGATGGGGATGGGGGATGTGATGTGCTTCGCCCAGATCCGTGGAGGGAAGCTGATGGTGGCCAGTACCCGCAAGAGCGACGCCGGTGTCTACGTCTGCGTGGCCACCAACGTGGTGGGGGAGAGGGACAGCGAGCCGGCCGAGCTGGTGGTCTTTGGTGCGTGGGGTGTAATGTTTGGGGTGTTGAGGGGTGGGTGACATCCTGGCGGGACTGACAGCTGCCCCACAGAGCGCCCGGCGTTTGGCAAGAGGCCCCTGAACCAGGCAGTGCTGGTGGAGGGGACAGCAGAGTTCGCCTGCGAGGCCGTGGGGGATCCCCAGCCAGCGGCGCGGTGGCACAAGGAGGAGGGCGAGATGCCACTGGGAAGGTGAGCAGAGGGTGAGAGGGCTGATGCAGGGCACCAGGGCCATCGGTGCAGGGCTCTGCACTGCAGCTGGGTGGCATTACTGTGTGCCAGCCTGGCATCCCCGTGACATCAAGTATCCCATCACATCTTATATCCCCACGCACCCTCCATCCTCAGCACATCCTGCATCCCTATTGCACCTCAAGTCCTCATTGCATCCTGCTTCTCTGTTGCATCCCATATCCCCATCACATCCCACATCCTCACCACATTTCACATCCCCCAGTGCATCCCTCATTTTCCTTGCATCCCAGATGCCTGTTGTGCCCACATCCCCATCACATCCCACATCCTCAGTGCATCCCTTGGCACCCCACCCTGTCCTGGTGCCCTGGCACTCTGCTGGTGCCACGTCCTCACGGGGTTCCCCCCAGGTGGGAGGTGCTGCCGGACAACACCCTGCGGATCAGCCGGCTGCGAGCAGAGGACGAGGGCACCTACACCTGTGTGGCCGATAACAGCGTGGGCAGGTCGGAGGCATCCGGCACCCTCACCGTGCATGGTAAGAGGGGCCCTGGGGAGCACCCTTAGGTGCTGGTGGAGTGCCTGGGCAAGCCCTTGTCTCTCCCCACACTGTGGCAGTGCCCCCCCAGCTCGTCACTGGGCCCCGCGACCAGGCTGTCACCCCTGGCCAGAGCGTGACCTTCCAGTGCCAGAGTAAGGGCAACCCACCGCCTGCTGTCTTCTGGCAGAAGGAGGGGAGCCAGGTCTGTGCCCATCTCTGTCCACATTCCTGTCCCCATCCTTGACCCCAGACCCAGCTGTAGCCCCGTCCTCATCCCAGTTCCCACCCCACCCATGTCCACATTCCATCCTCATCCCAATCCCATCACTGTCCCCGGTCCATTTCCATTCCACCTCATCCCCATTATCATCCCCATCCCCATCCCAATTCTCAGCCCATCAGCATCTCAACCCCATCCCAATCTTATCCCATCTCATCCTCCTCTCACCTCATCCCCACCCAGTCCCCATCACCATCCCATCCCAGTCCTTATCCCATCCCTTACCCTTTTTCACCCCAATACCAATTCTCATCCCATTCCATTCCATTCTATTCCATCTCATCCCTTCACATCCCATCCCATTCCTGTCCCCATGCCCATCCCTGTCCCCACCTTGTCCCACCCCACCTCTCCCTCCTCCCCTACTCAGCCCCCTCCCTCCCCAGACCCTGCTGTTCCCGGGCCAGCCCCCGCTCCCCTCCAGCCGTGTTTGGGTGAGCCCTGGAGGTGCCATGACCATCGCCAATGTCCAGCCCGGTGACACCGGCCACTACCTGTGCCAGGCCATCAGTGTGGCTGGCAGCGTCCTGGCCAGGGCACGCCTGGACGTGATGGGGGGTAAGTCTGGCACCAGCATAGAACTGGCACATTTGGTGCATGAGTGGCACCCACCACACCACCCAGCGATTCCCGGTTTTCCCCCCGTAGCACCCACCGAGCTCCACCCGCCAGTGGTCAGCCCCGTTCCCGCTAACCGGACGGTGCTGCCGGTGGGGGCCACGGCACGGCTGCCTTGTGGGGTGTGGGGCGGTGACCCCCCGGGCAGCGTGGGGTGGCTGAAGGACGGCAGTGCCCTGGTGGGTGCCCAGTCCCGCGCCAGCCTGCTGGAGAACGGCACCCTGCAGATCACCGGCCTCCGGGTGAGCCGGCCCCGGCAGGGGCACCCGTGGGGGTACTGCAGGGAGGGGAGAGGGGCAGTGGGTGTGGGAGGGGTGCAAAGGGAGGTGGGTGCTCAGGTTGGTGGGTACAAGCAGTGCTGGGGCTCAGGGTGATGGGTACAAAGGGTGATGGGTGCTCAGGGTAGTGGGTACAAAGGGCGGTGTGTGCCCAGGGGGTGGGTGCCGAGGTGATGGGTGCTCAGGGTGATGGGGCAGGAGCTCTTCCCCCCTACAGGTGAGAGACTCTGGGCTCTATGAGTGCGTGGCCACCAGCCCAGCGGGCGAGACACGCTGGGGCAGCTCCCTGGAGGTGCAAGGTGGGTCACAAGGATGTCACTGCACCGGGGACACCATGGCACCAGGGACAAAGCAACCCCAGACCTCCACGCATCTCTCTGCAGGTGATGAATCTGACCTCTTCCCACCTTCCCCTGTGCCTGGAGTCCTCCCCGGGCCACCCTCCACCCCTGTGGTCACCAACATCACCAAAAGCAGTGTCACCCTGAGCTGGAAAGCGAACAAGGACAGCGATGCCACCCATGTCACCTCTTACATAGTGGAGGCTTTCAGGTATCACTCAAGCATCCCCTCTGGCTGCAGGGATGATGTGGTGGCCCGGTACCACCCTGTCATGGGTCACCCCTGTCCCTTGGCAGCCAGGCAGTGGGTGGCCCGTGGCGGACGGTGGCAGCTGATGTGGAGGGTGAGACCCACACGGTGAGCGGCCTCGTCCCTGACACCGTCTACCTGTTCCTGGTGCGGGCGGTCAACGCCTACGGGCTCAGTGACCCCAGCGGCATCTCAGAGCCTGTGCACACCCAAGGTGAGACCCAGTGGCGACATTGGTGGAGGTGTCTGTGAACCCACCATCCACTTCCACTTGGTGACACACATGGAGGTGCCTGTGCACCCAAAACCTTTGGGTCCATCCTTGCCCAGTGGTGCCAGTGGAGCTTCCCATGTATCCACCATGGGAACGTGGTGTCACCGTGGCCTCTCCATTCGGTGACGCCAGCGGGGATGTCCATGGACCCTCCATTCTCTCATGCTTCCAGCAGATGCCAGCCCCACGGAGCAAGGGCTGGACCCCGAGCAGGTGCAGCGGGAGCTGGCCCAAGTGGCTGTGCACCTGCAGGAGCCCGTGGTGCTGCCGCTGGGCGCCGTCCGCCTCTCCTGGACCGTGAGTGCCGCACCCCGCTGCCAGCACGGGGCTCCCGGTGCCGAGCATCCCCCCATCCCGCCCTCCCCTTGGCTCCGCAGGTGGAGCGCCCAGCGCCCTTCCTTCAGGGCTACCGCGTGCTGTACCGGCGGCGTGGTGGCCGCTGGGAGGAGGCGCGGGCGGTGCGGGCGCCGGAGGAGCGGGAGGCCCTGCTCACCGAGCTGCGCCGGGGCCAGGACTACGAGGTCAAGGTCCGACCCTATTTCCGTCAGCTCCATGGTCCGGACAGCGCCGTGCGCACTCTGCGCACCCCAGAGGCGGGTGAGTGTAGGAGTGGAGGGGGAGGTGGGACAACCTCCCAGGGGACAACCTGGAGGTGACATCCCATGTGTCCCCTACCGGCAGCCCCCAGCGCCCCCCCGCGAGCTGTCAGTGTGGCTGGGAACGGCACCAGTGTCCGCATCTCGTGGCAGCCACCGCCACTGGCCGAGCAGAACGGCGTCATCCGGGATTACCGGGTAAGGGTGGACAGAAGCAGGGACGTAGCAGGTCCCCTCTGTCCACCCATGGCACCATGTCATGGTGTCCCTCATCTTTTCCCCCTCGCTCCCAGATTTGGTGCCTGGGCAATGAGAGCCGCTACCATATCAACCAGAGCGTGGAGGGGACGGTGCTGGCGACAGTGCTGCGGGGACTGGTCCCCGGGGTCCCTTACCACGCCGAAGTTGCCGCCGCCACTGCCGCCGGTGTGGGCGCTCGCAGCGCCCCTGTCCCCATCCGCGTCGGTGAGTCTCCTGTCACCGCCGCACCTACGGGTGGGGAGTGTCGGGGGTCACCCACTGCGGCGCTGCGGATGGCTGCTCGGCATCCCACCGGTGTGTCCCCCTTCCCCGTGTCACTCGCAGCCCCCCCGATGGAGCGGGATGCGGAGCCAGCAGGCGGGAGCAGCGTGGCCGAGCGTTTGGCTGAGGTGGCCCGGCAGCCAGCCTTCATCGCCGGCGTCGGCAGCGCTTGCTGGGTCGTTCTCGCCGCCTTCGCCGCTTGGGTCTACAGCCGCCGCCGCAGGAAGAAGGAGCTCAGCCACTTCACCGGTACAGAGGGGTGCTACCCCTGGGACCCCCCACCCCTCACTCATCACCCACCAGCCACCTACTTCCCCTCTCTTTGCAGCCTCCTTTGCCTACACACCCACCGGTAAGCCCATAGGTGGCGCGGGGTCCCGGCGCGGCCTCTCGCCGCCCTCATCCCGCTCTCTTTCCGCAGTCGCCTTCCCGGCTCCAGCGCGCGGCAGCCCCAGGTAATCCCCCGGGTATCCCCCGCCTTCTCCAGGAGCCCCAGCGCTGACCAACAGCACCCCTTCACCCCGTCTCCTTGCAGGGCAGCCGTCGGCAGTGGTTACCCGTGGCTGGCGGACGCGTGGCACGGTGGCGGCACAGCCAGTGCTGCCGGTTGCTTGGGCACCGCTGAGAGATACTACAATGGTGAGGGGTCAGCACGGGGACGGGTGGGTGGCTCTGACTGGGGGGGTCATAGTCAGCCCTGATGGTGGCAGCCGCCCTCTGCAGACGCCGGCATCACCCGTTACATCGCCCAGACGGAGCAGTTTGGGGCGGGGGCCGGCGAGGGGCCGGTTTACAGCACCATCGAGGCGGACAGTGAGGATCTCTGCACCTTCCCCCGTCCCTTCTCGCAGTATGGGACCCCCTATCCCGGGGTGGGTCCTCAGCCGATGGATGCTGCAGCCGCCCAGGCACCCCGAGGATGGGCTGAGCACGGTAGGGTGGTGGGATGGGTGGGGGGACACAGGGGGGCTGGGGGTGCGGTGCCCTCCCCACAGCCCCCCCAGCATCCCACCTTGCCGCAGGGGCCAAAGCAAAGCTGGGGCAAGCGGTGAAACTGCCAACGGTGAGTTGGACGGAGCTGCTGCCCCCTCCACCTTCAGCCAGCGAGCTTAGCCAGTGCACCCAGGAGAAGGAGGAGGAGGAAGAAGAGGATGAAGAGGAAGAGGCAACCGGAGGGTGAGTGTGGAGGCTTGGGGGGGCAGGGGCCTGCTGCCCCCAGCACGCACCCTGTGGTCTCTGCCCTGCAGGTCGGGGATGGAGGTGTGGTACCCCGGTGAGGACATCCCCTGTGCCACTGCTGCATCCTCGCCCACCACCTCCTCCGGCTGCCGGTCCACCACCACCCTGACGCCATCGCCCCGCGCCACCGAGGACATTCCCCGCCTCCATGACTTCGACAGCTCCCGCCTGCCCCGGTAGGAGATGGGCCTCGCTTGGTATGGCCGTGCCATTGGGGTTTGGATGTCCCATTGAGGTCCAAGTGTCCCACCACGGTCTGGGTGTTCTGTTGTGATTCAGCCATGTTGTCACTATCCAACTGTGCTCTGCCATCATGGTCCAACTGTGTCATTGGGGTCCAGATGTCCCACCATGGTCCAGATGTTCCATCACAATCCATCCATCTTGTCACTATTCAGCCCTGCTGTGCTGTCATGGTCCAGCCATGCCATTGAGGTCCAGATGTGCCATCTGAGGGCCAGGTGTCCTGTTGAGGTCTGGGTGTCCCACTGCGATCCAGCCATGTTGTCATGACCCAGTCCCACTGTTCCACCATGGTCTGGCCTTGCCACTGGAGTCAGGATGTCCCACCAGGGTCCGGATGACCCACCACAGTCTGGGTGTCCCATCACAACCCAACCATGTTGTCACAATCTGGTCCTGCCATACCACCATGGTCTGGCTGTGCCATAGGGGTCTGGATGTCCTGCTGGAGTCTGGATGTCCCAGCGTGGCCCAGGTGTCCCTTTGTGATAATTCCATGATGTCACCACCCACCCCTGCCCTCCAGCTGTGCCCCGGCCATGCTGTCAGGTCACATCCATGACAGTGTCAGCTGACTGGGGCATAAGAATTCAGCTACACCATCACAAGCCAGCTGGGACATCATCATCCAGCTGTGCTGTCGTGGCCCAGCTCTGCCATGATCCAGCGGTGCCATCGCAAGCCAGCAGTGCCATCACAATGCTGGCACGTCACTGCACTCCAGCCGTACTGTTGCAATTGAGCCACATGGTTGCAATCCAGCTGTGCCATGATCCAGCTGTGTGGCTGCAATCCAGCTGTGCCATGATCCAGCTGTGTGGCTGCAATCCAGCTGTGACATCCGGGGCCAGCTGCATCATTGCCATCCAACTGTGTGCTTGAAATCCAGCTGTGCTGTGACCCAGCTGTGCAGCTGAAAGCTGTGTGGTTGTAATCCAGCTGAGCAGCTGTTATCCAGCTGTGCTCCAGCTGTGTCATTGCAGGCTGGCTGTGCCATTACAACCTCGCCAGGCTGTGGCTTGTGATCCAGCTGTGCTCCTCCCCTGCAGCTGTGCCACTGCACTCATCCATCTGCCCTTTGCCAGTCCAGCTGTGTGACTGCGATCCAGATGTGGCACTGCCATCCAGCTGTGGTGCTTCAGCCCACCCACACCAGTGCCATCCAGCTGTGCCAACACCCCATGTCTTCCCCTGGCTCTGGCACAGCTCTGGAGGGATTGTGCCAGCCAGCACTGTGGTGGCCACCGAGCCCCCCATCCCACTTCCCCCACCCCGGCTTCATCCCACCCCCTCTTTGCCAGGAGACCCCCCCACAGCACCGGCACCCCCCCACAGGCACCCAGTCCCCCAGTGACTCCGGATGCCAGCGAGGGCCACCCACCCCGAGCCCGCTGCCCCCCCGGCACAGGTGAGCCCTGGGGGGCCGGTTTGGGTGGGTGGGTATCACACTGGCTGTGTGGGGAGGCTGACGCTGCCATCCCCCCAGGGAAACACCGCGGGGCGGCCCCTAAAAGTCGCCTGAAGCCCAAATGCAGCCGCTACTGCCGGGAAAAGCAGACGGGAGGTGAGTGGGGGGGAAAAATTAGGGGCTCCAGGTGGGTTCGGGAGTGCTCAGCCCTCTCCTCCCTCTCCACCGCAGACCTGCCGCCGCCGCCTCTGCCGCCGCCGGGAGAGACCCCCGGCCCCTCTCCGGAGCGGGAACCCAGCGGGGCCGAGCGCAGGGTCGCCCATCGCCCGGCCCGCGGCGGTAAGCCAGGGCCAGCGGCTGGGTGACAAAGGGTTTGGGGGTGTCACTGCCGAACCCCAACCTTGTCTCCTCCCCTGCAGACGAGCTCGTCCCTTACAGCAAGCCCTCCTGCCTGCCCCGCGGGCAGGTGTCTGGCAGCTGCTCCACCACAGGCAGCGTCTCGTCCCGCGGCTCCGCCAGCTCCCGGGACCACGGCTCGGGGCGCAGCCGGATCCCGGCGGAGCGCGGCGAAGGGAGCGGCCATCGCCGCCGCCCGGGGGCCGCATTGCCCGGCCCGTCGCAGGAGAAGCGATAAAGTGGAGGGCAAGCCGGTGACAGGGTTGGGGACACGGAGGGACGTTCTTTAATTTCTGGGTGGCGCCATGTAAATAGGGTTGCACAGAGCCAGCGGCCGGTGGGCGTCAGAGTGAGGGGGGACAGGGGTGCTCGGGGTGGGACAAGGATAATCACAAGGGATGAGGACCCTGGGGAGGGACAAGGATGCTCAGGGAGGGAGGAGGATATCTGGGGAGGGATGAGGACCCTGGGGACAAGGACGGTAGGGAAGCATAAGGATGCAATTTGGAGGACGAGGATGCTCAGGGAGACCAAGGACAGCCATGAGGAATGAGGACCCTGGGAAGGGATGAGGATGCTCAGGAGGGACAAGGAAGATGCTTGGGGAAGGAGGAGGAGCCTGGGGACAGAGACAATTGTTCAGAGAGGGATGAGGACACTGGGGAGGGATGAGGATGCTGGAGAGGGATAAGGTTGATGCTTAAGCAGGGCAAAGATCCTGGGGACAAGGACAGTTTGGAGGAACAAGGATGCTGGGAAAGGACAAGGATGGCTGTGAGGGATAAGGATGATTGAAATGGATGGGGACAGTTGGGATGAGATTACAAGAGAGGGACAAGGACACTGCAGATGGTTTAAGGTGCTGGTGAATGGCAAGGAGGGTGGGGGACAAGGATGCCTGGAAGCAAGAGGACACAGGGAAAGGACAAGGTTGCTTGGGAAGGACAAGGACAGTAGTAAGGGATGAGGAGGATAGTTGCAGGGGGATGAGGACAGTGGGAAGGGACAAGGACACTTGATGCGTGGGGCAAAAATAATTAGAGAAGGATGAGGACACTCAGAAGGGCTCAGGACCCTGGGAATGAGGATGATTAGAAGAGACAAAGACACTCGGAGGAGGCACAGGTGGCTTGGGAAGGATGAGGATACTTGGGAGCGACAAGGATGGTTGAGGTGGGACAAGGATGCTGAGGAAGGACATGGGCTGTCAGAAATGACAAGGACAGTTGGGAGAAATGGGAATGGTCAGCAGGCCTGGGGATGGTCAGGGGAACAATCCTGGGGAAGGACAAGGACACCTGGGATGGACAACAGTGCTTGGGGTGGACAAGGATAGTTGGGGAGGATGAGGATGTTGGGGAAGGATGAGGGCACTGGGGAGGGACGAGGACACTGTGGAGGGGTGTGGACACTTAGAGGGGATGTGGACTCTTGGGAAGAATGAGGATCCTGGGGAGGAATGAGGAATTTGGGAAAGTATGGGGACACTGAGGAGGGATGGGGACACTGTGGAAGTATAGAACACTTGGGAAGGGCAAGGACACTGGAGAAAGAGGGACACCCACCCACCTTGGTGCCACCCACCCTTTGTGAGTGGCTTTTCCTAGTAAAGAGCCCCTTTTTGGGGAACTGCCTAATAAAACTGGATTTTAGCCGAGCCGAGGGGACTCTGGCCTTGCTGCGTCCTGCACCCTGGGGACCTCCATGCTCCTGTTCCTCCTGTCCCCAGCTCACCACCTGCCCTGGCCCAGGGGCTGCCACTCCCTGACCCCTGGCCACCTGGCAAGAAAAGGGAACATTTTCCAGCACCCCGTAACAGATGGAACTCCCTTCCACCCCCAGTGCCCGTCACCCCAGCATCAGGGCACCGCTCACCGTTCTGTGTGATGCCCAGAGCTACCTCTGCCCCAACTCTCTGTGGGACCCCCAGCGCTGTCCCCCAGTCCCAGGTGGTGGTTGGGACCCCAGGTGAGAAGACCCGCTCCAAGGGTGATGGTGGCGGTGAGGGACCTGCGGGAGATGGTGGCATCACCATGGTGCCATGACAGAGACACCTTCCCCAGGGAGGTGACAGTCCTTGGGGTCAGAGAGGGGGTCAGGGACCCTTCACTCACCCCTGTAAGGCCCGTCAGTGTCCTCAAGGCTGTAGCAGAGGCCATCGACGGCCACGGCCAGTGCGCGGGCGAAGCTGGCGTCCAGCAGGAAGGAGCCATCGCAGGAGCTCACGAGGCTGCAGCGGGCGCTGGCAAAGTTGTCCTCCGAGACGGACCCCCAGCCGTTCAGCAGAGACCCCCCCGGCGAGCCCCTCGTTGCCGTCCGCTCTTCCTCCTCCTCTTCTTCCTCCTCCTCCTCCCCCTCCTCCTCCTCCTCGCCCAGCTCGGAGGCTGGTGGCCCGTAGATGTAGCCGTAGGTGTGCAGTGGTGAGAAGGACTGTGGCACGGTTGGTGCTGGGGGTCTATGGGGGACATGGTGCGGACATTGATGGCACCAGGGGGCACTGCCATCGTGGGAGTGTCCCACGGGGATGGGGAATACCTGAGGCAGGTGGTGTCCTGGTCCATCTCCAGGTCCTCAGCCACCTGCTGCTGCGTGAGGACCCCGTCGCTGAACGCTGGCGAGAGGCGCCCGGTGACTGGGGACCTGTCCCTTGGGTGCCTGGTGTCTGGGGACATGTCCTTGGGGTACCTGGTAGCCAGGAACATGTCCCTTGGCTGCCTGGTCTCCAGTGATGTGTCCCTGGTGTGGCTAGTGGCTGGGGACCTGTCCTTGGGGTACCTGGTGCCCAAGAACATGTCCCTCCGGTGACCAGTTACTGGGGACACCTCTTCAGGATGCCTGGTGACTGGGGATGTGTCCCTTATGTGTCCAGTGGATGGGGATGTGTCCTTTATGTGCCCAGTGTCTGGTGACATGTCCTCAGGGTACCTGGTGACCAGAAATATCATGAAGGGACATCCCTTGGGTGCCTGGTCACCAGTGATGGGTCCCTGGGGTGCCTGGTAGCTGAAGATGTGCCCTTGGGGTACCTGGTGCCCAAGAACTTGTCCCTGCGGTGCTCAGGGACTGGTGGCATCTCCTCAGGGTGTCTGGTGACTGGGGATGTGTCCCTGAGGTGCCCAGTGGCTGGCGATGTGTCCTTGGGATGCCTCATGGCTGGTGACATGTTCTCAGGGTACCTGCTGGACAGGAACATGTCACTTGGGTGCCTGGTCACCAGTGACAGGCCCCTGGGGTGCCTGTTGGCTGGGGGCATGTCCTTGGCATACCTAGTGGCCAGGAACTTGTCCCTGCAGTGCCTGGTAGCTGGGGACATCTCCTTGGGGAGCCTGGTGCCTGGGGACATCTCCTGGGGCAGCCTCATGCCTGGGGATGTGTCCCTTGGGTGCTGGCTGGCTGGGGACATGTCCTTGGGGTGCCTAGTGGATGGTGACATGTCCCTCTGGCATTTGGTCCCTGGTAATGGGTCCCTGGGGCACCTGGTGACCAGGGATGTGTCCTCAGGGTGCCTGGCGGCCAAGACTGTGTCTCTCTGGTGCTTGGTGGCTGGTGACATGTCCCTGGGATTTCTGGGGACTGGGGACACATCCTTGGGGTGCCTGCTAGACAGGAGCATGTCCTTGGGGCCCTCAGTGATGAGGGACATGTCCCGGGGGTGCCTCGTGGCCAGTGACACATCCCTGGGGCTCTCAGTGGTCGGGGATGTGTCCCTGGGGCGTTGGGTGAGTGGAGGTGTGTCCCTGGGGATCCCAGTGGATGGGGACAGGTCCTTGGGGTGCCTGGTGACCGGGGATGTGTCCCTGGGGCACACGGTGGCTGGGGACCTGCAAGTGCAAGCAACATGTTGGGTTTTGCAGCACGGGGTTTGGGTGCAGGGCACCCGTCTGGATGGGGACACTCAGACTCACCGTGTCACCGGTGGGTGCCGGGCATGGGGTGGTCTCGGGGGTGTCACTGGTGACCCGGTGACACCGGAGGCCAGTGAAGCACTGCCCCGACGTGGTTTTGGGGAGCTGAAGAACGGCAGCTGCCCGTTCCCTCTGTCCATCATGGCAGCAGTGGTGTCACCCTCGTGTCCCCTTCGCTGAGGCCACCTGGCTGCTGGCCCAAAATCTGTCCCCCACTCACCTCCACTTCCAGTGACAGGGACATGGTTGGGGCCAGCCGTGAGCACTGGGGTGCTGTGCACTTGATGCAGCTCTGCGTGGGGGATGTGGGACACTGAGCCGTGGGCCACCTCCCCGGTGCCCCCCTCATCCCCCCGCGTGTCCCCCATACCCACCTCTCTTGCGAATGTGCTCCCAGGGTGCTGGGTTTGGGGTGCTGGGCGAGGTGTGCACCCCGGGGTGCCCCCCGCCGCAGCACCCCGTGTCCCCGAGGGGCGGCGGGTGCCCCCCACGGGGGCTGCTGCAGTTGGGGGGCGTGGGGGGGCCAAGGCTCGGCGGCTCCAGGGAGAGGGCTGGGAGGGTAAGAGAGGTCATGGGTGCTGAGCTCTGTGCCCCTTGTCCCCTCTGCCCTCGGGTCTGTGTGTCCTCAAGTCCTTGCTGCCTCCAGACAGGCAGCGGGGACCACCGAGGTGGGGTTCCCATGGCACTGGGGTCCCAGGCAGAGGGTTGGGGTCTTGGGCACATTTTGCTGGTCCCATAGCACATTGTGAGGGTCCTAGGCCTGGGTGGGGGTTCCCATGGCATCAGGTTAGGGGTCCTATGGTACCGGGTGAGGGGCCCAGAATATCCTGTGTGGGGGCTCCATGGCAGAGAGTGGGGTTTCTATGGCACTGGGTGGAGGTCCCAGCCCTGGGGTTCACTGCAGGGGTGAGGGTCCCATGGCACTAGGTGGGGGTCCCAGC